GTACAATGCCGGCTATATTTTACTTTAGTATCGACAATTTGCGATTTTGTAACCTATTAGGTTGACTAATAACTAATATGACCTAGCCTTCGTGAAAGGAGTGAAAATTTATAAAATTTTGAAATTGAGACTTACAATATAATCGATAAAAAGGAAAAAAAAGAACAACGCATATATGAAAATAACAATATAATATTTTCCGTTACGAAAAATATAACATACAAAAACAATAGCAAATGATAAATGAAATTAAAACAAATTACTAATAAATAAATAACAAAATATCCCCTATGTATTCTAATTAATACATATATAATATGTGGACTGTTTATCCTTTAAAACAAACAATAAAAAGAATTCTTAATATTTACTCACTGACGGGTTGCTGGGAAATCGATGGATGTTTCAGTGACATACATAATACGATAGACCCATAGTAATCACATCCACTGGTGTGCCGGACAGAAATGCATTAACGAACGTGTGTACACTCTTCTCGCGTATCACACTGGCATCAAATAAAAAACCAATAATAACAGGCGGCTACTTCCCGTCGGTCAAACCAATAGGAGACTGTAATGGTAGACGGAAGGTCGTATAATACACCGTTAAAGTTTATTCCGTGGTGAATGGCTAACTCAATAATTGTGGCGACAACGCGAATTTTGGTCAAAGAAAATAAATGACTTCAATGGTTCAAACACGGCCGAACAAACGAGCACGATTGAATTAAGAAAGGAAAAACCTTCAATATCATACGTTGAAGGGACCGGTCAAAACAACTGTGTTGCCGTACCGATACGAAGGTGGGGTTTTAGAGGAAAAAACACATTAAAGATTGCGGCGTATTATGAATACGGAATATCCGGTCCACTAGATGTTTGCAGAATAAAAAAACTTATTGCAGGGTATCAGTGGCATACCTGTCGTGATAAAAACAAAACAAATATGGTATGACGGTGACCTGTTCGCATCAATTACCCTGATTTCTTGTTTAATTTTATAAATAAGCGTCACCCCAATTAGTGTGTACCTAACGCCATCATACTTTATTAGTGTGGTATATTTAGATAACAATTAATATATATATTCTTCATAAGGAAATAATTTTATTTTTTCAAATATTTATTTATTAAAAAACCTTTTGAAATATTACCTATAATATACTTTACAAAATAATTTTAAATGTAATAATTCTTACTCTGCTGTTTTAGGGTTGAGAAATTCTTCAAATCCTATGTTTATGTACCAAACTTCAATAATTTCGTCGAAAAACTTATTCATTATCTCTTTTCTTGCAGANCTATGTTTATGTACCAAACTTCAATAATTTCGTCGAAAAACTTATTCATTATCTCTTTTCTTGCAGACAATAAGTCATTAGGTAATTCCGCAATTTTAATATTTTTTAAATCTTTTGTTAGAAAAATGTCCATAGAGTTACAATTTTGAAAAAAAAATTCTACTTTTTCGGATGCGTCTGTTTGAAATACTGTCAAATTCTCAAGTTTCATTTCAGAGATTTCATAAGGTGATTTGTTGAGATCAAAAGAGTTAGTTTCCAAACTTATTTCTAAGACGAATTGATGTATAAAATTGATTGCATCAATTATAGGATGAGGTATGAAACCTTCAGAAAACAAAAATCTTGTATCTATATAGCTTAAAAACATCATAGCATTGTGTAGATTTTCAATCATAGTTTTGGAATTTTTTACAACTGCTTCAAGTGTTCGTACATAAGGAATAAAAATATTCAATACATTTTTTTGATAAAATTGCTGGCATTTATTGAGGACAAGTCTTATTACACTAAGGAATTTTCTTAGTATTTGAAGGTACTTGAAATTAATAATATCTATTATATAACAATATTTTTGTCTGAAATTCAACAT